GAGGAGGAGGAGGAATGGGTCACAGACAGTCTCAGTCTGTCGGTGGGAGGAAAAAGATCATCTCCAGTGAAGAAGAGATCAATTGTGCGGATGTTAGTGGCAGACTGTAATCATATAGTAAGCTCATGAGATCTTTTGGATTTTTATACATTCTTACCTCTCTTACTCATTGCCCAGCATTACCTCCTCCTCTATTCCCATACAAACTGTATATATGCTCCCTTCCCTTGTCTCATCTTGACAATCACCACTGCTATCGTACTAATCGGCGAGGTCAAACGACTAGCAGCGACTTCTTGATAACACATAACGCATTTAGTAGCACTTCCTTGTTATTGTCATTCCTAATTCAAGTACTCCTCTCTCGAGACAAACTGTTCTACCGGAGGGAGAGCTCATAATGTGATGTGTTTACTTAATATCTGAAGGAGGAAAGGAAGCTCCATTTTTCTATGGTGATAATAAGTGATAGGTTTTCTCTATTAAGGTAGGCTTAGAGATGCTGACTTTTTTACTTTTGAAGTAGTTTTGTGGGTTATGATACTACGTCAAATGACAAACGCCCAATTTTGAGAATTCGGTGGTGCTTCACTCTTTACACTTTGTTTATTATCTTTATTAACTTTATAGAATGGAGTGCCTACGCGAGATAATTTTACCGAGCATTGATTCATGCATTTTTGTGATTACTTTAGTCCTTTTTCGTTCTGGAGAAGAAAAGAGGAAAAGATGAGTACATTTGAGGCAGGCAGGAAACTACTATATCCACTCTGTAAACATTTTCCCCACCCCACTCCTCTAATTTTATTGGTGAGCTTTTATTGGGTTGACTGAAACGAAACTTTCTTTTGGTATTTCACTTTAAAAGACATCAATTATGAACCTCGTATCAAAGAACCAATTTTATGTGGTGCGTCTTTGACTTTGGAATTGACTTACGCAAGGGTGTGTCTCGCACAGGACAAAATAATGCAATTTATGAAGAAGAAGACGACAAAAACTTTTGTCTTAGTACTTTTACTTGATAAGCTTATTGAAATTCAACTCCTTAATTATTTTATATAGAATGGTGTCGGCTTTGAAATTAAATAATTTAAAGTTTGTGAATCATCCCTGCAAGGCATTTACCGATCAAGAGACCCACAAGTCCATTTGGGGATTCCACTGCATTTTGAAATACTCAAATAAAAACAAATGCGTGCTCTGTGATGAAGATGGAAGGAGATCTTCAATCCACCTTAGTGGCGGTTACTGAAAACACAAAAAGTGTGAAAATGTCCCTTGGATTGCGCGGCATAGAAGAGGGCTAAGCCTGGACCACATCTGCAAGAGCATGAGTGCGTGTGCGGGTGTGTACATGGCGACGAGAGAAGAGAATTTGATGAGTTCACATTAGAAATTCAAAAGAGCTGCGCAAATGTCACTTGTCCTTCACAGGCTGCGCGCACCTCTTGACACGAAAGACTATAAAAGCAACCAAATTGTCGGCCTGCCTTATCGCAGCATAGAGAACTGCAAAGGAGACCACGGTTCGCAGTCAGTTCAGGTAGGTGTTTAATCATGCATACTTGGCCATTGGCTTAGCTTTCAACAATCCCATCTCCCATTTGTGTCTTTGCTCTTGCAGGTAAATCGCCTAATCAAATTTAAAATGGCCTTTCAATTCCACATGAATTTGTGCCCCCTACTCGCCATCAGTATGGCCGTATTGGTGAGCTCGGACATTCATGATGAGTACCCCCAGTGGGATAGAACTCACTGGGTCGTACGGAGCACTGATTCCATCACATTGAATTGCACCCACTCAACATACTACCCCTTCAATAATATCCAGCAAGCATTGGATGTGCAGTGGATCCTGCCCGAACCGACGTCATACCGGCATTTGAAAGCGGGACAGACAGACGAGGGATGGCAAGTGCTGTCGAAAGACCGAAATTACCAATTGAAAATTAACAAGGCCATCATGAATGTGCCCGATTCCGTGAATGGGATGTACGTGTGTGCAGCATTGGCAGTGGCCTCGAATGACACTAGCGGGAAAGCAGAGACGTACGCGTGGTATTACCTACGATGGGGTGTGGGTCTCTACTCAAACGTGCCTGCCATGAAAGAGGGCACCGTCAGCCAAAAGTACTACTGGCCCTTCACCTACGCCTGGGTCTCTGTTCTCGTGGGGCTTGTCGTGATCGCGCTCTTCTCGCTGACCTTGCACTTCAGATACAAAGGCGGTCCTATCGCCGAGGACGACGAGGAGCGAGTGGGCGAAGACGGACTCAGCCTACGTGAGGACGAGACAGAGTCAGTTTCAGTCAAGAAGCGTCGCAGTCTAGAGATTGATGAGAAGGATGACGGTGGCAGGTTGTGATCATACAGTACGCTTAGGAAGTCTTTTGTATTTTTATATCTTTCCCATCTCCTTCACTCATTACCTGACTCCATTCACATCCTCTTTTCCCCACCATCGATGCACACACTTATCTTCACAATTCTTACTATCATCGTCCCCGTCCCTGTCTTTTATGTGACATTTCATCGGAGGAGGCAAATGGTAGAAGGCCAGCTTCCAGAAAATAAAAAATATCTAATTAACTGTCCTCACAGCTGGCTAGCGCAGTGGAACTCTGGGTCTGCTTTTTAAAGGAACGGGAGAAGGCTTGGCTCAGTTCAAGCGTGCTTTTCACTTGGCACCTGCCAAATAGGAATAATGGAAATCGTTCATTTTTAGCTAAGACTGTGTATTAATATTAAAGTGGTCCACTAGAACAACGTCTCTATCTAAGTTCTGTAAGAGAAGAAAAGCAGCGACCTCTTCTGTTACAAATACGGAGGATGACAACAATGTGACATGGAGGTGGTTCCGTGATGTGACAGTCTAACTGGAAGTGACCCACGCGGACCCTTCAACACCGACCGGGCACACTTTGGCCCGGGAGACGTGACTAGCCAAGTGTGCTTTAAGTCTCCTAGCCCCTCCCATCTCACCCATTATGACTTCATGAAAGAACTGGAAGCACCATAAAGGCCACAAGAAACAGTTTTTTCCCCTCGAAAGAAAAATAACGTCTCAGCTACCACCTGTGCTTACTGTAAATCGCGACTCTCAAGCCAGCCATACCTCGCCAATAGAACAAGTTAAATAACTGCAAAGCGATTAGGGCGGCGAAACAATCGAATAGTGAATGTAAGCACTATCATGGACATCAATATTAATGTATCCGAAAACGGCAACTGGAATAAAAAAATAATTATCGTCAAAATTAGTTGCAAGCTAAAGGGATGTCTCTGTGAAATTTTATGCAAACGAGCAAACAAGTAGCAATAATTATATGTTAATAATTTTCGAAACCAGAAAATACGCCTGTACCACATTTTAATAAATCAATAACTGGGCCCACAAGAACACTTGGTTAAGAAGTATTTTGAAATCAAGCATGTATTTTGACTCCTTCCACTGAGCTGAGCATTGTCGAAAATGACTCCGCTGCGAAGAAAATCAAGCAACTATACACAAAAAGCATAAAACAATCTAGCAGAAAGCATTCAATTAAAATCACATGTCGCGAGGGGTGTGTGCAAGTGAATGAGTGTGCCGATTGCGCACACTCACCGAAGCCCCTTTAAGAATTCATTATCACTGCGTAAGCGAGCATACACACCCATATTCCCACTTCTATTACTCGGTGCCAAAGCACGTTCTTTTCACTGATATACGTGCTTCAATTGTTTGTTCAACTTCCTGCTTCAATAACGGGCCTATGAGGAGCTCCGCCATTGGATCGCCGCTAAGTGGCTTGGCCTTTGGGTCGAGACAGTAGCAGTTAAGCCCGTTTATAGGTCGATAATACAAATTCTGCAAAAGCGTTATGTCTTCTTTCAGCTCCGAGTACTACAATTGGTGCAATATTATCGACCATTTCCGCTTTTACTGCTATTGTCTAACATCTGGGTTAAGGGAAATGATTAGAAGACATCGATTATTGCGTTATGTGGGATTGTAAAAGTAAATGTTTCTACAAAGAGCCCAAATTCGTTTGCTTTTTATAATATGGTGTCATATCTTAGTAAAAATGGCTAAAATTCGTGAGCCAGTTCCTTTAAGACATGTTCAAACGGGCATTAAATACCGATATATAATTTCAATTGTGTCAAAGTAAGAATTTCGCTGCTGTTAGGCAATGTCTTTGTTTAGCCTCACCAAAGTTATCTTAAAAAAAGTGCTTTTTTATTTACAAAAATTTGCTTCTAATATATAGATTTAATACATTGTTAATTGCTTTTTAAATCTTGTATTACGGCTGGGGCGTTTTCAAGATGGTGTGCACCACCCTCGTTGTGTGGATTTCGTTCTAACATCTTTGGTCAACGGCAGCTCTTCTTTTCTCATAATATCCCTCTTACGTTACACTTCTTCCTTTCTTTGGTATGGTTGTCTTGGGCACCTTACTAATGATTAGTAGATTAATAAGTTGATAAAGTGTAGTTTGACGTTGATGTGATTGTTTGCAGTGTTTTTTCTTAATTTCTGGGGTAATTTGCAAAAGAATACTCGAGTTTTTAATCGACTATGTTTTTAAAGTGCAATCAAGTGAATTGTTTTTTTAAGTTTGGAACTGCTTCCAACTTGGTATTGCTGTCTTGTATTTTCTTCACTTACGTGTTGCATCACACCTCTATCCGTATTCTAGTCCTCAGAAAGTGCTCATTTTCACAGCCTATTCTTGCCAACAATAAAATGGATCCTAATCGAAAGGTTCCTCTTATATCTATTACGCCGTCGTCCACTTCATCGAGCAGAAAACGAGAATTCATGCAAGTTTTTCCTTCAATGAATATTCGATGTTTTAGAGTTTCTTTGCACATTTTGCGTACTTATTATTCATTTTTACGCATAATCGAATATATTTTTATACTCGAAGTCTAGTTATCTTCTGCCCTATATGTAAATGTAACGCTTTCTCAAATATTTGATTTGGGCGCTTTGTTGTGCTCTTTTTTGTATTCTGATATGAAAACTTTTGCAAAAAACAATTCGCTCTTTAGGGGCATTGGTTTCTGGAATTCCTACATAAGAACCCCTGAGTACCTTAATCGGGAGCCCGAAAAACGTCCTATTACGGCAGAGGAACTGGCGAAACACAAAACTGAAAATGACATGTGGATTGGATTACGAAATGGCACATCTGGTGAGATTCTTGCATGCGTCCAGCTCGACTTAAAAGCTATTCTCTGTTTTCGCACTTTAAAATTGCAAGATATGTGTCCGACATTGGTGTGCAGATACTGAATTTTCTCAACTTTGGTGTGTTTACCGCGGTCCTCCTTCTCGTTTTCCCTTTTTAAAAAGTGTTTTTTAGTGGAAGTGTTTGATGTGACGCCATTTGCTAAATATCATCCTGGTGGAGCGGAAATTCTTGCTCAATATGCCGGTACAGATGCCACTGAGGCCTTCCGATGTGTAAGACGAGATTCAATTTATAAAAAGTTGACTTAAAACCAATACTACTTTGATTTAATCCATATTGACTAAACATTTTTAGGCTCACGCATACATAAGTCCATACATGATTCACCGACTGAAGAAGGGCCATCTTGTTTCGTCCAGCTGTCAACGAAATAGCCCCAACAGCAAGTTTTAAATCACCTCTATGCAAAACTTTTCATTTTTGCTGTCTTTCTTGCCAAGATGTTAGACAGCGCATTTGTATTCTCTTTAAAGTGTCGCGTTGTTCTATCTTGGCTTCCACGTTTACTTCTTTGGACAAGCATCTTAATTCTGAAGTCATCTTACGGAAGTTCTTTTTGGCACAAAACGTTCTTATGCAGATTCAAATATCTGTTGCTTCTCAAGACACTCGTCTTGGGGATTGAATTATTCATTTCAGAACAGATATTACCGAGCCTTGTTTCCTGCCACCCCGCTAAATTCAGATCTAGTTCCTTTTTTTCCTCAGCTCTCTCTCCATCCATGAACATAATGCCAGTACAGCTTCCGCCATTTAAGGAACAACCAGCAACAAGACCAAGGTATGCGACACTTTTTTTATTTCTTCCTCTAGTTTCTTTAATTTTCTGTAGATAATTGGAAATGGGTTTTATTCATGCGACATGTAACATCTTTTCTCAATCTGTTTGGCTTGCATTCTCTCTTCGTTGTGACTAATCCCAGCGTCCTAACCACAAGTTTTTCTCCTTCCCCTTGCTTTTCTTACAGTAGGCTCTAACTGCGATTTATTGATAACTTAAATCTACCTAAAGGTTAATTCCATGCCCTCAGCACCGGCCACAGATGCTATGATTGCATCTGACCTGATATGACCTCTGAGCGGTGAATAATACACATGTGGCCCGCAAACCTTGCGTTTATGTGCGCTAGAAACATATTATAAGCAAGCCCCTTTTGTTAAAATGATAAGCCTCATGAAAGGAGAAAAGTGCTGATTTAGTTTACCCATTTAACAGTGCAGAAACCGTTCTAGTCGGTTTGATGGTTTCATTATTTATTCCGTGTCTCGTAATACGTATCTTGAGAGCGTGAATAGCCTAACCCAAAGCGTTCATGAATCCTACCCTGGCCACTACCATAGTCGTAGTTCATGGAAGGTATTCAAGGTGGCGTGGAGTCTAGAAAGGTGTAATGATTCCCAGACCAGGGGTACTTACCCAATCTGCGTGTTGCCCATGATCTGGTGCTGGTGAATAACTCATGTCACTCATATGTGCCACTGGCAGTGGACGTGCTAAGCTATCTACTTCTGATGCATTGCAGCCAAAATGACAAAAAAAATGAACTAAGCATTGAAAATTTGCATTATTTTGTCTCAAAATAAGTGAATGAGTTATGTGGTAGATTTTTTATTAATAGCCTAAGGGGATATTTTAAGTGGTCTGAAGAATACCCTCTATGCCCCTCAAAAGCTCACCTAGTGTCAGCATTTGAGACTGGCATTTTCATTCTGACAATGTTCATAGGTTTCCTTCATGAACGGTTTTCCTTGCAGATGGGATTGGATTACTTCGCCCGACGAATGTCTGGTGACCTTTGAGATAGCTTTGAGGAGACCGCTTGTATCCCTTCGGCCTTCCAGCCACCTCATAGCTACTGCAAAATCGGATGAATCTGATTATCGACGCATAATCCTACAAATCTTCATTATGCTAGACAAAGAATACTACTTCCTTAAATTCCGTGAGTATTGGTTGCTTCGGTTGCAGGGTCCGCACTTAAAGACTGCTGTGGTGCCTTATTCGCGCGTTTATTTGTAGGACTTCTGCCACAGTTGAAGCCCGATTTGCATAGCATGCGTTTCGACCGACAATTTTCATACTTCTCGGTCGATCCACACATGTACTTGGACTTGAAGTCCTCTGAACAGCCATCTGGTTTACAATTCAGCACGCTAGGAAGCGTTCTCCACGATGAACTCCTCAGTTTCTCCGATGCATTTGAACGAGGTAGTTCAACCATTGGCCACTAGTCACAGTTGTAGGTCACGGAGATTAAAGTCACCAGCTAGAATGGGGCCTCTCAAACCACCCTAGGTAACTACACCCCTCATTACATTGTGTGGATACGAATACCCTCCTGAGGATGTTACAGGATGTGAAGAACTGGCTTAAACTTGTCTATAGGTGTAGTGAAGGTCTGATGGGCTGTTGACAGAATGCAAAGAGCGAAGGGTCCGCATAGCTAAGCGTACAATTAATGTTTGGTATCATTACCACAACTCTGTACTTAACGGTCACATCTCTCATTGTATGTAGTTGGTCTTATGGAATGCGAAGTTGTCTCCTCCGAACGCCTGGATGGGTCGCCTTATCGACTGCTTCGGCTGAAGTGGCTAGTGGGGCAGGCACACCTGCCCATTCCCCTTTTGCATCATGTCCTCCTCTGTGTGAAAGATAGCAATGGCTTGGTCCATATGCGACCCTATACTCCTACTTGTGTCAACCTTTCCCCGGAAGAGGGGAAAATGTCAGATCCGACGAAATTCGATATTCTTGTCAAAGTCTACCCCAATGGCAATGTCTCCAGTTTACTGGACAATGCGGTAAAAGGTTTGTTCACTTTTTATCTCTCTACTGACTGAAATAAGTAGTATACCTATGCGTTATACATTGTTGGAATAGCGACTAGGAAAATCGAAAATCTCTATCTCGAAATTTTTCTTCCATTAATCAATATATAACTCCCTCTACTGGGTGTCATCTGTAGGATTTGTTGCAGGAAGACTACCGGGAATATTTGCCACCTCCTCCCCCTTCTCCCTTGAAATAGGTTCCGTGGTCAAAGTCAGTCTACCTCGATGCCAACTTGGTGCCAGCGTCCTACTGAGCCGTTGCGGTGATCTATTCAGGCCGTGGCCATCTGTGTGTATGTTGTGCGGGGGTAGCGGAATAACACCCTTTTTACCCTTGATTCAGTACCTTTTGGCTCTGCATGAATCTCGTCTCTATCTCCTCTGGTTCAATCGACGGGAGGAGGATTTGATTCTGCGCTCGCAACTCGATGATCTCGCCGCATCGTCAGGTGATCAGTAAGGCATCCTTCTGTACAGTGTGGGAATTTATACAGATTCTTAGGCTTGGCGTCACACATTTCATAATCTTTTTGAGCTTTATATACCTTTGAAAAACGAAATAAAAGCTTTACACCTTCGAAGGGGTTTAAATGCATTACCACTGATCTTGCGTTCTACTTAAATGCCTTATCAGTAGTCAGGTGAAAATTTATGCGCCGTTTGTAGGCTTCAGGTACATTATTGGTTGGTGGAGCCCGAGGAAAGGATCAAGACATGCAAGCAATTAAATGTCACCATCGGTGGGATTGAAGGCATAACATCTCCTGAATCGTTTGGTACCTTTTTGAACACATCTGCCACCTCTCTCTTGTGTCTGATTTGTGGACCGCAAGGATTCAACTCGGCCGCTAGCGCGTAAGTGTTACCTCCTCCCCTTTTAAGAAACTTTTCAACTGCTCCTGGGGCCTTCAGTTTCCTTTAAATGGAATTTATCTGTCATTTTTCATTCTTTTACCTAGATTGGCACAGGTCTGGGGCATTCCGAGCTCCAATGTGCATATTCTGCAGTGACGAAGGAGGAGGTCCCGCAGCCGTTTCCACCTAATCAATCTCAGGTTCAAGAATTGAACTTTCCTTTGGTGTGAGCATCCTCTTCATTTGTTAGTGTGGTATCCTAATGGCCGCTTACTATCAAAATGCCAGGTTTCACAGCAATTGATGAGGATTTGAGGGTTTCAATTAAGTCTTGTCATTGCCCAATTTACCTGAACTGCCAGGCATGTATTTACTTTTCATGTTTTTTTCTCAAGTGGATTACTGTTAAATTGCAAATACTTTGTATTTGGTTGCGTGCATCTTCTCAGTTCTTCGTAGCGATGGTTTGCGGCTGGGCTCCTAGCATTATCTTCCTGATCCCTCTGGATGCCTGCGATAAAGTTAGTTCTCGACTCATATGTTAAGCCGCGTTACATTGCCAGAGCTGAAATTTTGGTTGTGTTGACGTCTAAGCGCATTTGAAACGGTTTTGGAGTTCCCGCACCATTGGCAATGTTGACCTGTAGCGGGTACTTTTGAGGGATAATGCCGTTAAGGGTGGCGTAAGTACAAGGTGTCCAATACAACAGGATTGTAAACTTGCTGTTTAAGGATTCAAACGGGACAGTCCTAGCACTTCGCCAGGAGTGTCACGATGAGACTGGATCACTGCACGGTCAACAATAACACTTCCAGTGGATGGGTTAGTGCCTTTCATTGTGCCAAGTCGTGTGTTTTGACTTATCATAAGGCGGAGAAACGATGTCACGAAACTGACCTTCTGATGGGGCGAGTATCCGGCCTTCCAGCAGGTGGCTCTCTTCTTTGTAGACCCTTAATTACGCTTCAAAGCAGCTTCAGCTACATCGGACATTAAAATGGCGATGTAGTTAAAGGTAGTCGCCTGGATCTAGAATGTTTCTTGAGATGATCGCTATCGCCATCTATCATCCTTTCTCAGCAAGGCAACATAAAAGCGCTGCAAATCCCGCTTCTACAGGACGTTCAGTACTTGTGATGCTACTTCACATTTCTAATTATCCCCATTGTATTTGATTTATTAGTGTGTAATGTCAAGAAAAGGTGAAAACCATCACTTGGAGTGACGCTAGCAGAAAACTAAGGCAGTATCACATTTTCACCCCAGTGCACCTCATCCTGAAATACAAATCTTCCCACATATAAGTTGTGTGATATCTGAGGCTTTGCCACCTGCTATTTTGGCGCACAAGAACATGAAGGTGACCTTCCTTCCCCTAACTGAGTGTTCCAAGCCCCAGGTACTTCCGGGTTATACCGCATCCCTCAATCACTACTAAATCCTTAAATCCTCCTCATTTAAAGCTGCGATATTCCCTTAAATACAATAATACTAGAAAATAAAACCACAATAGCTAGAAATTTATCGTGGTTTATTTTCCCACTCCTCACCATCACGTCTTCTCAGGGGGAACCTGGTTTATGCGGGCTTCAAACGCAGCAGCCTTGGCTTCATCACGTTCAACCCCATCGCCAATGCGATAAGCGCGTGCTGCGTTGCGACAGGCCAGCTCGTGACCATTCAACTCGCAGGCGCGCACCCATGCCGCCGCAGCGGAGCGACGAAGCTCTGCCTCGAGCTCCGATAGTGTTCGCCGCTGCGCAACACCCGTCAGTTCCACCTCTGCCACTCGCTGCGCCTCCGCGCGGTGATGATAGAGACCACCGAGGTAGAAACAACTAGCCGGTAGATTTAATCTACAGCCTCGGGTAAAATAATCCATCGTACTCTCGCTGGCGGCCTGTTTCGCATCAATGGCACCTTCTAGCAGCAACTCACCGGCGCCCTGGAGAATAAACAAGAGTGCCTTGTGGTTATATTAATTCGCTAGCACCACTTCTGTCGATTGACCAAACACCTTAACGTCCCCCCATCGATTCCTTTGTTGAAACTTAGCTCTAGAACAAGCTGACTACCAGAACATGGTTACTTGTTTACGAATACCCTACCCATGATGGTTTGATCCGTGTTTCATTTCATTCGCATCGGTTTTACTCTCAGTTAAAATGGTTCTCAAATTTTCTTCACCCATCTATTCATGAAATTTGGTCAGGAAGATCATTTGACCCTTGGAAATACTGGCTTGGATAAAGACAGATCTCTGATAGCTAAATTTGTAGCCACGATGGGGAAGAAATACCTAACGCGCTCCGACCTGGCAGCATTTGGGGTGTTCACAAACGTGGCAACCGAATTTAAGGGCTTCAAAGGCCTGAGAGGCGTTGCGCTTGATGGCGGTGGCGCCGAAGAGCTTGTAAAAGGCGTAGTTGCTGCAGCTTTCAGCATATCGACGGTGAAAGCAGTTTTGACGATATACATCCTCGGACTTGGCGAAGTCACGTTTGTAACTGGCGTACCAACGGGCCAAGGAGTGGCATTCTAAAATCCACCAAAGCACAAGTACTGTCAATATACTAGAAAGGCAGAGAATAGACATACGTGCTTACGAACATACGAATTGGGTTCCCCTCGCGATGGCAACCGTACTCAAACTTGGAACCTAGGTTCCCCAGGTATTCTTCAGCCTCCTCTTCCGTCTTGAACTCGAGTATTCCGGAGTCATCAGGACCGAAGCTCATCGACTCGAGTCTGAAGCAAAAGATGGTGTACTTTGACACGCACTGAACAACACGCCACGAAGTCCGAAAAAGAAATAGAAGGCTAATAATATGTTGAAGGTTGTTGGGCATTTAGCCACTTTAAAAAGTAGAAGCAACTTTGGCAACTGGAATAGGTAAGAAAACCCAAACAAATTTGATACAGATAATTACTCCATGGTAAGATGCAGACATTTCGACCTTTGTCTGCAAGACTAAAA